GAGCGAGGGACCACCCTTCCTCCACCGCAACCAACAGGAGGAATAAGAAAGGCAATAGGTCGGGTGGCAAGTTCAACCGGTACTCGGTCGTTGAATCTGCGGTGAGCAGACCGCTACCGGCACTCAGGCTCGCATGGGGGCAAGAGATCGTGAAAGAGAATTGGGGGAGCATAGGAAGTGGGAAGAAGGAGTGAAGATGCAGTGTGCAATCCCGAGTTTTCACTGATACAATTAAAACGTACAGCAACATATTGTCATTATAAACGGGGTAGTGTAACCCAATGTTGCCCTTTCCGCCCGCAGAACCTTGGGACGAAGAGGGACAGGAGAGGAAGGGAGAAGGGGGGGAGAGGTCTCACCTTCGTCCGTCCTTCACCCCCAGCAACCAGTGTTATCAGTACAGTACGAGCACTGTACGGCAGACAAATCTCGTTCTCAACCTTCCCACATGCATTTGTGAAACCCCAGAAATCGAGCATCATAGGGTTTCCCCGCACTTCGGCCCCCGAACACAATGGCTGTCAATCGAGTCTATCATAGGACTAGTCTCAACGCTCGCTCTCTCTCTAGCCTTCACTCTGGCATCCCCACCTGCCCAGCACTTCCGCTATGATACCCTCGCCCAGAACTGTGGTAGACTAAGAGTCGTTTGGAGGTGTGAAGGAAGGACATCCGAAACCTCCAATGACGAGGTCTGGTCCACATGTCAAGCATTTTTTTGTCCTCTTAGCGGGAATAGTACGGTAACAAAATATTCCAAGAAACGTCATTATCTCTTCTCATTTATTCTTTCTGGGAAGGGGGGGTGCTTATCATAGGGCTAGTCTTGGGGGGTGAAGATGGTGCTAGTCTAGAATATTCGGAGCTAAATGGCCGACCGGTATTGTGGGCGAGGTGGTAGCGGAGCGGTGCGCTCGGTCTGGGCTTGTACCGGTACTTGTACAGTACTCGTACTCGAGTACTGTGCTCGCAATAACGACAGCAGCAGTGATACCAATACCGCAGCACCTAACTTGGGCCTTTTACCGTTTATTTGTTAAGGAAAGGGGGAGATTTTCTTATGTTTGAAGGGGTTTTGTAGGCCATACTTTACGGCCCTTGCCATGGTTTTTCCCGTGCAATAGCTTTGGGGTTGGGGATTTAAACAAAAAAAAAAACGCAGCACCTAGGCCTTATCCATCCTCAATCCTCAACTTCTATGTCGTTTATACCGTAGGAATTGCGGGCCCCAGGCTTCCCCTTTCCCTCCACTCCCCTGTCACCCTCTACATACCAGTCCCGGGAGTCTATTTGTGATACCTCATGATGGACACCTGGCGTTCCAGAACACCGATCATCACCCGATGTCGGCACTCCGCCAACGGGATAGCACCCTATGTCAAAAAAGAAGGAAAAAAACATCACCGTAACAGTCGCCAAACGGAATAGGGGGAAGGTTGCAAGAGGGCCCTGCCCATCCCGCGGTCTTTGCAATAGGAAGCGAATCAGACCTTCCTCATCCCGAAGCTGTACCGTACCAATATATGGCCGGCACTCCAGAATACCGGTAATGCAATTGGCAGAGCAAACCCAACCGATCAGGGAAACAGAAAAAAGAAAAAAAAAGGTTATTCCATCAGCATCGACGTGACGTCGGATCGGCGTTTCTCGGCCCTTTTTATTAATGGGCGGGGGTGGTTTCATATGTCTGCTCGCGAGCTGGCAAGCTAGAGAGGGAAGGAGTCCGTAGGATCGACTTCTGGTATCAAGGATGTTACGGCACGGCATTCTTCGGAAGTTGGCAAGCACTGTCAGGGGGGGGGGTCTTTGGTTTCTTTGACTTGATATAATCCCGGATGACTGTGAACAGGTACGTGCTACCTCAACTGGGACCTTAGCTTAAACTCCTACCTGCTGCTTCATCGTTATGAACCACAACCAGATCTGAATGGCGGTACGTTTGACACTCATGGTGCAGGTACCGGTACCAGAACTTGTGCCGTAAACGCAACCAAGCACAGCACATTGTGACACAAATTGCAAACCGGGCCAAACAAACGAAAACCAATAATTGGTGGGAAACCGCCACTATCGATGAATATGATACAGTTATTGATTAATTCGCCTACCCGCCGGTCGTCGTCCACTCGCTCTGTGTGTTTGTGGTAGGTCATGCAAGTCATCGGATTCACTAGACCGGTAGACCGGGAGAGAGGTGGAGAGGGAGGGGAGCTGTCTTTTTTTCTTGTACGAGTAAAATCATGGTTTCACCGTTTTAAGGTATAAGAGTGTCGCATGCAACTACAAGAAGTGGAGTGTGGGAAGGGGAGGGGAGGGATGAATTTTTAATTTTTAATTTTTTGGCGGGGGGTTTCCCGCATTTTTTTTTTCTTTCTGAAGGACTATCTACTCGCACTATACTCGTGCTGCACCCTGGACATTATCCCGTACTTACTAGGTACAGTACACTACTTCACGGGACTTGAGCAGCATAAATACCCACTTGCACTTTTCAATCCGGACTTCACATGCCTACATTGCTTACCCACCGCACAGTACTATAATCTACACTTCACTTCAAAACCTCCATCTCCCCTTCCCCACCGCGGCTGCCACAGTAATACACCTCCGTACTTAAGCATTTAAAATTAATCCCATAACAACACCACACTTGACTGCACGGATCGGAGATCGAACACATGAAGAATTTAGAAATATTGAGGGTGGGTGGGGTGTGTGTGTGAATAAGGATGGGAATACCGGTAGCACAATACCCTACACTGCCGTATATTACTTTTTTTTCTATTTTTTTTCTTTCTTTTCTTCTCCTCCCTTTTGATAAGAAAATCACGGTATGGTATGGTGTCAGCTCCCGGTGGGTTGAGTTTAATCTCAGTCCGTCAGTCAGTAGACAACCATCCATCTAACCAACCAACCAACCACAACAACCGCCGCAAGAATTATCGAGACAACCCAGTCATGGTGGGATTTCCCGGTACGAATACTCGAGCACAGGTAATCCCCTGAACAGCAAGACAGGGGACCTACCTCCACGATGCTGTACGAGTACTGTACTGTACTGTACCGTACGAGTACGGCACAGCACCGGACGCGCCAAAGACTACATATTATCAAACCGTTGTCCGTCCATTGGTAAATATGATGCGACAGCGGGCTCAGCGTGAACCAAGTCTCGACGTTCTTTCCACCGGTGCTCATAATTTAATATCTGCCTAAGGGATTACAGATCATACGTTCACCCGGGGTATAGTACGACACTGTACTAGTAATTTACTGTACCTTACGCACTGGATGGGTTATATACGTAGGGCAGGACAGGCTAAAAAGGTCCCGGAACTTGCGATACGATCCGATACGATACTCCTACCGCACACCGCGCTCAATATTTATTGATATCGCGGCGGGGGCGGTATGGTACCTTAGTTTGCGGCTTCATAGGTTCGGTAGATCTCCCGGACTAGATTTTTCATTCATTTATTCATTCATTAGGTCTACTTTACTCACCGGATTGCTACCCGTGCAAGGTGTCATACCATATCGTCCCGTAATCCATGGAAGTGTATCGTACCGAGATCCGGTACTGTACTGTACCTGTACATCCTTGTGGCAGGGGTACAGTACTCGAGTACAGTGCCTATGTTCTCATCGTGTATTCGGAATCAGGTAACTAAAGGGTCTTTCGAAGCTAGTAGAGGTGGTACCAAAATAGAATCACAATATCATGACATTGTGATGTACTGTATTCATGTTGTCGGATTGAACTCACCCCTTTTTTTGGTGGGTCACCAGAAGGAAAGGCAGGGGCGGCTTGAGTCAGGTATCGAATCATGACCTGAATAGCTATTTTCATACTCCTATTGGAATGACATATTAGAACTAGGGCCTTACTACTAGTTTGCCGGCTCCGAATACACGATGAGTTCACAAGTACACTGTTACTTCGTATAAAAACTGCCATCCCAACGACTAACTCCAGCTCGATGTTCCCCCACTCCCGTCATTCCCGGTCAATGGCAAATCGAGCTCTGGATCCCGTTCTCTGCTAGGTGGAGCTAGGTGGAAAGGGTAACGCCAATGGCTTTGGGTGGTTATCATACCAATTTTATTTAGTACCAGGTACTAGGAGCAACCGCAAATTCAGATATATGCGCACCCGCGGTATTACGATCCCTAGTCAGACAGTCAAACCGCCTATTCAGCAATCAGTAAATCTGGAAAGTGCCACCCACCCGTGCGGGTAGTAGGACCAGCTGAAGATTTCAGTGATCCACTAGGATGGCGATAGGGCGGGGACCTTCTATTCTTGTTATATATATAACACGAGTGTGAATATTTATGGGCCCTATTTAAGGAACTTTTCACCCCTGGTACATGCGAAATCGGTCACGCTCGGGCACTACCCATGATTGATCAATCGATCAGAGTCCCCCTATTTCCTCAATCATACGATCATGAGATCATCTCAATCAGGTCATGATCGAGAATATCCTATGTGATCTGCCCGATTGTGATTGTGGCCATCACTATTTGGAAGCGATTGCGCTATGGACTTCATTTGCCAGGGGATGCCTCTCGAATGCATGGTCTCTGACCAGGGAAGTATTTACTTTGGTTTGCCTGTACCTGAAACAATCCATCGATTTAACAAAAGAGAATAATTTTGTATAGTTATACAATTTCGGGATAACACTAAACAATTCCCTGCATAGGGACTATGGACTCCAGTTCCTTACTACTCAGCAACACTATTTGTGGTAACACAAATCACTCACTATCTTCATAATCAGACTCACCCACCTCCTGCCCCGCCGAGTGGCCCTGAGTGGCCACTTCCTGCACAGTGTTCGCAAGCGGCCAGTCCGGCCAGGCTTGAGGTCCAGGGCGGCCGGCCTGGCCTTCTTTGGTGACCGGCGGGGCCGGACTGTAGATATCTGCAGGCTTTCAGATATCTGCGGGCATCTTCAGATATCTGCGGGCACATCTGCAGGCATCTTCAGATATCAGTGGTGCACAGACGCAATATTTACTGGTCAGGTAGCATATGCCGAAAGCCTACCAGTGCCCCCAGGCATCCATGTAGCCTATAGGCTTCACCAAAGCCTGGCCTACAAAGCCCAGGTCAGTTTCACTTTGACCTGGCCGGGCCGGACTATGCATCTGCAGGCTATCTGCAGGCCGGCCTGGCCCTCTGCGAACGCTGTTCCTGTATACTATCTTCCCGGAATACGAGCCTAAACTGCCTTAAATGCAAAATTTCCCCTGTGGGGTTGATGGTCCCTGAGCCCGGAACCGGTTGGGCTTTGGAATAGTCTTCAGCACGGTCTTCAGGAACAACGAAAACAAAGTAGACGTTCTTGATCGTTTTCGGCAAAGCCTTCAGAAGCTTTGCAACTCCAGGTGATTTTATCTCATGCTGTTGGGCAAGCGTGATTTGCAACAACAGTAAGGTTTTCACATCCCTGAATATGAGCCCATCCACGGATGGATAATTCTGGCTATGTGGGAGAAAATATCTTTGGACAACAGCTGGGTTGATTCCACGACCTCCGATTTCCCTAACCTGATCAGCCAAGTTGCCAGGAGTGGTGAAATAATTTGGCGCGCCAGATTTGGCCTTGGTAGTATTGAATTCCAATGGGGGGGCCATGCTGTCAATGATTGGTATTTCATCAGCATCAAAGGTGCCTCCTTGAAGAAACCAGTCATGAACATATCCTTCGAAGAACCAGCCCGCGGCGCTTCTCAGGGTTGGTTGGCAGGAAAGGTGTTTGAAGAGCAGGAAACAATCGTGCTGTGAGCGTTTTAGGGCCTTGTCATAGAGCCTGTATGCCATCCATCGTGTTATTATTCGCGCAGTATACGACAAGCCAGTCCTGGTAGGATGCATGATCGCTATTCGGTGTGACGCTTCCTGGTGCACCATATGCTCAATCGTTTCACGCCCTCCATGGGCTATGAATCCATCTATTTCTCGATCTACCTGACTAAGGTAGATTTCGAGGCTTTCGTTATACGACTCATCACTTGTCACATCGATCGACTCCAAGCATGTTCTCGGTACAGGGTCCAAGCATGAGAAAGTCGTGAATACAGTCGCACCCCGTTGTCCCGGATGGCCAAAATCCTAAGAATCCGTCCGGGACAGCCGGGACAACAGGTTCGGTTTTGGTGTAAAGAAATTTATAAATTCATAGAAATTCATCCGGGACAGCGAAGAATCCGGGAGAGCGAGGTCCGGGACAACGGGGTGCGACTGTAGTTTGTTGATTTGATCTTGGACAGGGGGCTCCTCAAGCTCTAAGCTATTAACAGTCTCGTTAGTTATTAACCCTGTTTCGCTCTACTCCGGCGCAAAATAAGTCATAGTGCACTACTCAGCCGGCGCTAGCAATGCACATCCCCGACCGAGCTATTCACTATAACTTATTTTGCGCCAGAGTATAAAGGAAGGATTAGTACCAGTAGGCGGCAAAGATTTCCGGCCATTCCCGAGGACACATGAAATATAAGGCGACCCTACGCTCCTTTTCCCACTTCCTGGATGCTTTCACCTCCTGCGGGGAAGCGGCGAGCACAACAAACCACCCGGAGGTCGAAAGAAGCCATCGGGAGTTTTGTAGGGTCTCATGAGTCAAAACCCAGAGCCCACGCTTCTTAGCTGGTGAGAGGCGAGATAGTGTCTTAATACTAATTTCGTTCCGGGAGAATCTCCATCAAAGGGGAAGCATGATTTGTCATCCGCCCGATACACTGTGGGCTGACATTTACGCAGTCTGCGCACTAGGAGATATGATAGGAGAAATGTTTTGCCTATTTCTGAGTTAGAAGACTCTCAAAACGACTCTAACCAGGAGACCACACCTGTGCCGGGCTGACCGGAAATTCCATAGTCTAACTTCCGACGTGCCGCCGGGTTTCCACTACTATGGTCAACTCCCTGCCATCTAGCCGCCTCTGCTCGGATAAGCCGGTGGCGCACTTTATCATACTCAGGCCGAACCAGCAACTTCCGCACCCCGCATGGGAGATTTGCTCGGGTCTCCACTATTCTGAACACTTGCTCCTGCTTCTTGGATTCAAATTGTGGTGGTGCAAAGGTTCCCATCTCCGACGATCTCATGGTGACCTTATATCCTGGGTGAATACCATAGTTCGCCAGGGGAACCTGCACCGTGAACTCTTGAATAATGGGTAACGGCTTGCCCCATAACTCGTTGTAAAGATCCTGCATGTCGTTCTGCATAGGAGTGATGCTAATCGGAGACAGTTGAAAGTTCGGAATAAAGACCTTCGGTGAAAGTTTCACGGATCGAAGTTGCGGTAGGGGTGGTGGCAACAATGGTTTAGAAATGTGGCCATATGGGGTTTCAATACACGTAACCATACCATTATGAGTTAATATACACGTGTCTCTGTTAGGCTGCGTTCGGTTAACTATGGACCGTTCGCCCGCCGTTCCAGACATGACCGTTCAAAGCTGTGAACGGTTGCTGGAGATTTGGTCCGTTCCCAGGAAAGTTGTTCAGGTAAGCAGCTAGCCCAAGCAACCATTCATTAGTCAACCTTGAAAAGTTTTCCATATCAACCTTTTCAAACACAAACTCCCAATCGTACAATTTTTAACCCACAACAGAATCTATCACCATGCTATGAAAGTGAAAGAATACCAGTACAGAGGAAGCCCCCCCTGCTCCAGGCACCCAGCTTTTCAGTTCTACTAAGCCAGTCATTCAGTCTACCTTATCTACCTTTCATCTGTCCCATGATGAGAATTCTGATCTGATAGTACCAAGTTTTACAACACTTGATAGTATAGAGGAGAGAGGTACTGGTGAGATACAGTACTTTTCAGCTCCCAGTTTGTAGGTTTTAGCTTCAAGTTCTGCTTTCACGCCATCTACAATTGCTCCAACTCAGATACCAACTACCAAGAAAGTTTGAGGAAAACCTGTTATTTGAACTCCAGAGATGATCTGAGTAATAAATAGTAAGAGAGGTTGTTCAGCAAATCCATGCTGGAAAGTGTTCAGAAAATGGATTTAAGGCAGAAATCAGGAGAGAGAATTGTGCAGTAGTGGTTCAAACGGGTGGTAGACCAGCTAATGTCCTTACTAGAGAGAAGTGTCAGTCGAAACTTGAGAATGTACATACTCTATATCTGATCTTAATATCTAAATCCACTAACTGTACAATATTATAGTTGAAAAAGAAGTATTATATATGAACATGTTTATGACAAATAAGTAGATGGAGGTGTGATCCAATTAATAGTGCTCATACAGCCTCAGATGCAGTTTGAAATATGGAGATAGTTGTATGAGAATACATTTCAGATATACCATATTGAAGTATATTGACTAATTGATATCCTTCTTGCAGACATGTCCTGCTGTCTGGGAGTTTAGATATACACTATTAGCAAACTGCTTTAAGCTTGTAGAGATTTTTGAAGGAGTTTCAGCTAGTAGTAATTATAAATTTTATTTAAGCAGGATTAGTACTTCTGTTCTGACTATAATTCCACTCTCTAAGCAATCTACTCAAAGAGATCAATCTCAGATCTCCAATTCTCACCTCAGTAATACTGCATTACAGTTCTCTCTGAGTCCTTATACTAGCAGCCATGTATCTATTCCTCATACAGAAAATAGAAGATCAGGATTATCTTTAACTGATAAGATGTCTACTGCTCTCAATATTATTCTACAACCTGAACCCGAGTCTGAGCCCTTAGGGAGCAGTAGTGTCTCTATGGTAACAAATGCAATAGGGAAGCTGCAGGAGGAATTTAAACTTGAAAATAAGGATAGATGAACAATAGAGGATTTACAACTTACATATGAGATTTTTGAGAATCCTATTAAAGCTAAGATATTTTTAGCTTTAATAATAAGCCTAGAGGATCAAGAGCTATAGCTTCATCATCAGTTAAACAGATTTCAATCTACTATCCAAATATTCTATTCTGTTTTTCTATATATTTAATCAAATAAAGTTATAAAGTGCTACTAATATAACAATAAGTTTAACATAAATATCAAAACTATAAGCTATTAACTTGTTAAGAATTTGAAACTGCTTCTTAAATACCTGTCACGGCCACCCGGCTATGGAGGCGGAACATGCATGGGATTTTTGGTTGCATATATTAGTTGTGTTCTTGTGGTTGCGCAGTTGGATTTCCTTTGTACGAGTAGTGGGGGTGCGTTGCCACGTAGGAGAACATGGCAGAACTGGACGGAAGGATCGTGGCTGCGCGTGATGCCAAGGACTTTCTTTTGTATTAGTGATCATGGAGGGTTTCTTTTATATATAAAGGGGTATGTCCCTTTATATTTTACTTTCTTTACGCAATCTGGTAATCTCCTTTGGACACCCTT